AGCTCACCACCCGTATGGACCTTTGCAGGATCAGTGCTGGATGCTGCCCACCTCCGGAGCAGCCCGTAGAGAAACCGGGGCAGCACCCGTGCTGCCCCGGTTTCTCTACGGGCTGCTCCGGAGCTGGGCAGCATCTGGAGGGCATCAACATCTGGAGAGCAAGGCACCGTCTTCCTCCAAGACCAAGCTCATCCTCCATGGAAATCTCAGTCCCGTAGCATCCTTCATCTTGGCAAGGGCTGGTTCCTTGCTCCAGAAGAGTCCGAAGGTGCCCGTTGGCTCTCCCAGCACCGGCGAGCGGCTGCTTCAGGTCTCGTGGTCATTGCGAGAGATGCTTTTCTCTGTGGAGCTTGAGCAGGGAGGAGGAGGAGGAGGAGGAAGGGGAGGAATGTAGGTCACTTCTGCAGCACGTGATGCGGCTATCGGGCAGGAAATACAGTTGCTCCCACACCGAAGCAAAAGCTCACCGCAGCTCGGAGCTTTCCACCTTCACTCAAACCACAAGAAGTCATATAAAAAGTCACGGGTCGGAGGCAGCCCTGCGAGCTGCCTGCTTCACACAGGCCAGATTTGCTCCCGCGCCGCTGTGCCCTCGTTAATAAGCTCGTTAGGAGATGAGGGGAGTTGTTGTGTGTTGTGAAAGACAGTTTGGGGATAGAATTTGATTTTCTTGTTAGTGAGGGAAGAAAACAGAAGAAAGAGAGATAGCTCCAGAGCTGCAAACGCACTGAAATAGAGAAGTATTATTTAAAATAAATTTCTAGTGACTTCCTAAAATTTTTTTTCCTGTTTGAAATCTTCCTGCTGGTAACATGCTATGGAGCAATTTCTGTTCAGGTAGAAGGCAGAGCATTAAAGCTCATATTGGAAATAGGGTAGGTGCCAAAATGGGCCAAGGGCTTTTTAGAAACATAAAGAGGGAGGAAGAATCAGAACACCCTGAGAGGACCAGCTGTTGATCAGACTGCCTCTGTGGCAAATCTGGCTTAATTCAATCTATTAATTAACTAAGTAAAGTGGTAGTGGGTGGGACTCCCAGGTGAGATGCATCAGGGTGGGCTGAGGAGGGCTGGCAGCCGTCAGATGCCAGCAAAGCTTTGGGTGGCTGCTTTGAGGGTTCCTCCTGGGGTGTTTTTTTCTGGGGTTGGGCAGCTGGGGAAAGGAAAGGGATGACCGCAGAGATGACCCTGAGCAGGTCCCCTTGCAGAGGCTCCCAGTTTGTCCCTCCTGGGGGTGGGCAGAGCTGTGGAGGACCTGGCCGCTCGCCTGGGCAGCAGAGCCGTCCCCGCAGCAGCCCCACAAGCCCCACGCAGCACCCTCGGTCTCCCGGGAGCGTGGACTAACGGCCTTCCCTTCCATTTCCCAGGGGAAAAAGAAGAGACGAACACGGGAAAAGCAGCAAGATTCCAACTCAGGTAAATGCGTGCGGCTCGGTGGCTGTCCCCTCCGTTCTGCTCAGAGGGGATCACCCGAAGCAGTTGTCGTGTTTTGCCACGTTTGCTTTCATTCTCCTGAGCTTAACTAAAGAAATGCACTTTTTTTTTTTTTAAGACACGGTAAATTAACATTTCTGTGACATTTTCGTAGACGTGTTTTAATTAGAACGTGGGTACTGTGTGAAAACGATTAGATTTTGGCGAGTATGTAATTTCATATAAACTATCCCTAAACTTTATTCGAAACATCCAGGGCGAGTGTCCCCGTCCGCCCTCCAGAAACCGTTAATTAAAAAGAACTCCCGAATGCATCAATATTGCGTGTGGGACTAAATGCAGTGACAGGATTAGAGATCACCCATGGGACCACCCCAAATCTGGGTTTCATTTCGAAGCAGCTTAGAGTTCATGCAGAGTCGGACTGAGCACCAGCACCAGCTGCCTCCCCGCACCACACCAGCTGTCAGGAAAGGCCCTTTTGACGGAGTTCAGCTGGTGGCACACAGAATCACAGAATGTTCGGGGTTAGAAGGGACCTCTGTGGGTCATCTAGTCCAACCCTGCACCCGCATTCCCATCATCCAAGGCTATTCCTGTGCTGGTTTCTGAAGTATTTCTGCCATATCAGGAATAAATACTGTCCGTACTGCTAAATATTCACCATAAAACATCAGGAGGTTGTCCTTGCCCGCTGTGGCATCACGTATACGTGAAGTTAGACAGCCTGGTTTTTCCAGAACGTCCATTCTGTGATTGCCTGTAGACTTACTTTTTCATTCACCAGTTCGTTACCGCTCATTGCTCTTACTGACTTTTGGATGAAATTCAGTCGGTGGAGGATAGGCTGTCGGCTTTCTAAGTTCTCTCGCCCTCCAGAACTGCTCCCTGGCCTCGCGCACCCACGCCAAGACCTGGCACCCCTGAGCCGGGGAGCCCAAGGCGCACAGCTGGCCGCATCTGGGCCGGTCCGTTGCTGGCTGGGACGCGGGAGCCCAGCTCCGGTGGTATTGCTGTGGACAACACGTCCATGCGGCCAGAATCCCGCTGCCTGCCTTAATTCCTAAAGTTCAGTTTACCTCGTTAGTTTAATGAGTTGCTGTTGGATTACTGCTTCGAATTGGCCGTAAAAAGCAATTCCATGGCTGCGTCCCAGTAATATCTCCAGTTTAATTAAGACTGTAGATCTCATTCAGTGTCTAGACTGATCAGGGGAACAGAAGCTTTTAGGCTTATATGTAGTGTATATATATAGATATATTTTTATATATCCATATATATGTTGTGTCTGTGTGATATAAAAATGGTAATTTCACCTGTTAGGGATTGAAACCCAGCTGCTGGTCGTACGCGACAGGGGACACTGGTGGAGGCTGGGAGAGGGAGCGTGAAGCCAGCACAGAAATGTGCTGTGCAAATCCCATGCACAGAGCTGGAGAAAAAAACACGATGTGCCTGCAAGCAAGCAGGGCTTCACCTTAACGAGCCCTGTAATTATACAGCAGAACTGCAACGTTTTAGGAAAGGCCACGGAGAATAGCTTTTCTGTTAAAACTGGAAGGGGAATGGTGGGGGGCAAAGCAGAATAACCCGGGCCTGGGTCTCCTTGGTGCTAACTCTGCTTTCAGCTGCTTCTGCAACGTTTCCTCCTCTTCTTTTCCACGCTGGCAGCCCGGCTGATCGCTGCTGGAAGGGCAGGGAGCAGGTAAGGATGGGCCACAGGGGCCAGCCAGCCCCTCCGCCATTCGGCAGCTTTGCCAAACTTCAGAAATTCGAAGAGCTGGGAATTTCCCCGTAGCTGCCCGTATTTCCCAGAGCTGAGGCCGTTTCCCAAACCTCCCCCTTCTCCAGCTGCCAGCAGTGATCACTGATATTTGCCTAACGATCACTTTTTTCCAGGAGAGGTGGTGCCGACACCGTTCTGCTGCCGAAAGAAAACAAAAAAATTGGATTGTAGTCTGTTAGTGGTGTGTTAAAGTGGCTAAAATGATGTTGCCTCTTTTCTTCCTCCTGCTCCTCCTCCTCTTTGTGCCTCTGCCTTGCCCGCTCTCCGCCGCGCATGCTTCTGTGTTCAGATCCTGCCTCTCCTAAGAAATGCAGAGCTCGCTTTGGCCTCAACCAACAAACGGACTGGTGCGGCCCGTGCAGGTGTGTATCGGCATCTCCTCGCTGCTGGGGTGCTCCTGGGCGAGCCGGGCGTCCTCCCACAGCCGTCCCAGTGCCAGTGGGGATGGGCTGTTCTCCGGGGCATCGTCAGGAGCCGGCGTCTGAGCTGCAAGGGTCAGGCTGCACCCCGGGTTTCTCGCCCACCCCAGGGCAACGTTGGTGTGATGCCGTAGGAGTTCCTCGGCTGGTGGACTTCCCTGGTGCTAAAAGCTTATTTCCAGGGTGGAGACCTCTGTGACCCTGGTGTGGGGCTTTCCTCCCCCATTAAAGATTCCCTGTGGCATAAACAGCACCCCAGGGCCAGCAGTGAGTAGTTAATGGGGGATTTTATTCCTATTTATGCCGGGGCTTAGCGTGTATTTCAAGATCCAGCTCTTCTCGACCCCGGAATTTTGCAGTCCCCACTGTGGGGTGGGAGAGCCTCAGGCAGTGCCGCGGTTTGGAAGCGCCTGGTGCCTTGGGCTGCCAGGGAATGGATGCGGCCTTGGGCTGCCAGGGAATGGATGCGGCCAGGCGATGGGGAAACCAAGTGCTGCCTGGCTCAGGGGGCTGCAGCCAGGGGGAGAAAGCTCCTGGGGGGCTCCCGGAGCTGGGCACAGCGGGTTTTGATAGCGGTGCGGCGGGGTCTCCAGCAAAAGCTGGAAGCAAAGCGTTGCTTCATGCGCTTGCTGAAGGTTAAAGCGACTAAACCCACTTAGCCCACCCAAACCCTGGAAGGTCCAGGGAGGGGGTTTGTGATCCCCCCCCCCCCCCGTTGCTCGCACAGCAATGCACCGAGCTGAGCCCCGCAGCGCAGGGCACGGCTGCAGCTCCTCCAGCTTCGCTCTGCCTTCGTCCCAACCCTCTTCATTCAGCTTCTCTGCGCCGCTTCCCGGTTAACACGGGCTGCTGACGTGCTCGGAGACCTTGGCGTGCTTTTGGTGTGTAACCTTCTGCCTCTCAAAGCCTGGTCGGTCCCAGCTGCTCTGCAGTTCCCCTGCCACCCGGCTGCTCCCTGCTCCGGGCCCCTGCGGAGAGCAGCTTCCACCGGGGCATTTCCACTCTGCGGGAGAGGTTCACTGGTTAAAACTGGGTGTTTGGCGAAAAGCTCGAGAGCTTTGCTCCCCCTCAGCCGGGGCGAAGCGCTCCGGGGTGCCGCGGTTCCTGACGGGAGAGCGAGGTCCCCGTGGCCGTGGCGCG